GGCATTCTTAATTATCCTTAATTTTAAAAAGTATAAAATTGTATATCAAAGCCTTAAAGTATCTAGTTGGCACTTATATAGTCGTTGCAAGTCTTATCGCAGCGCTCACGTGAGGATACCACGAATGTTTTAGCCCTGTGAAGTTCTTAGCCGCGTTATTTACGTTTATACGACGTTCAGCGTGTTGAGAGTGTGATTAAATTTCTCCCTACTTCCTTGTAGAGGTTGTCTACACATAGTTCGAATTTTAAGACTGCGGTAAGTGAAAATTTTGGGTGATAGAGTTTGCTAAGTATGTACATTTTGAAGGAATGGGGTTATGTCGTTCTTGGATAACTCTATCGTGACTGATTTAATACTGAAAGCGACAGTCTTTTGTTTTTCATTCTTCGGTTACTAAACCCATTTGTATACAATGCAAAAATATGTATTTTTATAATTTTAATACATTTTAATAATCCGTTTATACTGTCTTGCGATTCTGTAACTCACTTTTCGAACTCACACAGCGGTTTTCGCAGCGGCGGTCGCGCTCAAATCAGTCGTAAAGCAGTCATTTTACGATTTGGCATTCTGATAAGGAGGGAGCTTGTAGTTTATTGTTTGGACTAGGTTCTAAGCAGTTTCCTTGAATAAGTCGTCTCTATAGAATGTCTCGTAGTCAAGCATGAAGTAGTTCCTTTAAAAATGTCCACTGAATTCTATCGCTACTAGTGCTGCCCAGTTAGACGTATTAGCTCGTCTTCGCATCTCGTTAGACGACACCTGCTGGTCTATATTTGGTACTTTATGACTCCAGTTTCCTAGTATTTTGTTTTGTTGGGCCCAATAATTATAAAGTTAAGATTTCATTTGAAACTTAATAACGATCTGTTCAAACGAATTTGTTTTGAAAACAGCTTAAACCTAGTTCGACGTAAAAAATACAGTAAAATTTTATCAGCTAGTTGCGAGTGAATAATAAAAAAGCAACAAAACAAAGGTTCGCCTGATCTTATTTCTTGTAGCCCGATACACTTCGGGTGCTATCGCCATAAAATTTTAATTTTCAGAACAATTCCCATTTTATTGGTCTCGAGAAAACTTAAATCATCTACAGTATTATCGCCAAGAGCCAACGATACAACTTTGTAACAATAACCATTTATTGCCGTTTTCAATTGTATGGATACAATTTTGAACATAATTTGCTTTAGAAATAGTTTTGGCTTGAATCTAAATATAAATAACAAGTACGTTATACATGTATACAATTTATGTTTCACGATGACGTGATCGTGACATAATCCACTGTCTACGAATTTGGTTTATTCGTAGACGGACTATGGTATAGACCAGGCATCAGCGTACAGCGTGTGAGATAGCGAATGATCGACATATATCATATTTACAGTTTTAATTCATTGAAGATTGCTTATTATTGACCAAAATACACATTCGAATTAATAATTCTTGAACAAAGATACTGAGTCGTGACAAAATAAGCTAGTTACTGATGAAAGGTGTTTGGTTCTTTACGTTCACTATAGCTTTTACAGCCAATTATGCAACAACTCACCATGACTGACACTTTAAATACACCTCTTATAAGGATAGTTTTAAAATATGGGTTTGACTTGGGTTTCACCGATTTATCAGTAAGCGGTGAAAACTTGTTTACCACCAAAGGCTCGGTGGTAAATAATAAAACCCGATACGCAAATAGAGACAGAAAAACTGATACTCTGTTTCGCTCGCACTTGAGTATTTCACGTTAATGCCTTCTCTCTTTAGTTATTATTGTTATTTTAGAAGCTCATCTAGTTCTATACTCTATCTACGGGTTTATTGTATTCTTTGATGCAGGTATTAATATCTGGATATATTTTTATTTCTAGTAAATCTACATAATTGGTTAATCAGAAGTGAATGGTTACGTAGTATTGTCTTTGATTTACATAACCTTTACACCAACTTGTCACCGTGACCACGCACGCTGTAAAGCACGCGAAACGTCGGATAAATTTAAAATTATGTTAAATAGTTGTAAATTTATAATAATACATAACTTCAATCCGGTCAAACAGTTTTTTCTTTGAATGGTTACGGTTATGTAATTAATGTTGCAGAGTTTATTTATATTCAAATGATTTTAACTATTGCAGTTTTTTTTATTGTCAGTCGCGACACATACATAGTTATATAACATAGTAGGTTAATATATAATAATAGGTCAGCGACTATGTTAAAGCATCTAATTAAATATGACCAAACCTAACACTTTCATCCTATACTTGCGGCTGTACAGTACGATGAGGTTATATACTCTAAATCACGCTACTAAAGTTGTTCTAAGTTTTGTTCTAATATATATACAATATCTTAACATATTCCATTAGGGCCTTCGGGCCGGTCAATCTGTGGTGGACTGGTCGAAGACATTCTGTAGTATACTTCTTTTAGGTTGAAGGAACACCACTCCTCCCTTCGTCTACTATTCATTCCTCATACAAAATTATCAACGGTCTCCATTATGTGATAACATTTAACTATATTCGCGACAAAAGTGAACAAGTACAACGTCTGTTTGAGCCACTCAATGCAGATATGATCGATATTGCGTAATAAAGTACAATACTGAATTGCTAGAATATCCGCTAATACTTGATTACAATAATATTTAACTATAATATAAACATATTTTTATAATATATGCGGTAGTGACATATGAGGAAATAATTAACGTTATAGTTTAGATTTTATTATTATATGTGTGTGTACTCTACAAGGGCTGTTTTATTAAATATAAATGAATAAAAAATGATATGAGACTTAGTAGCTTTAAAACTGATTTACGATTTAACCACTATATATTGTTACCTATTTTTATATTCGTTTTAGAATATAATTTAGCTTAGATTTTGTTTATTTTTTGTAATTTATAACGTCTTACTTATCTGCATCTGATATTTGTTTTCAAGTTCCTAATTTTTTGATGAAATAAAAAACAATGGAAAGAAAATTAAGTTTAACTCTCTAACTACAATAGCACATACCAAAGCATGATTTTCCCGCGTTGATACCGGGATAAAGAAGGGTCAACTTTATTGCCTCTTCCGTTTTTATCGTGATTACCCAACCGTGTTCCCTTGTGTTTTAACTTATGTTGGTTTATAAAGAAAATTTCTAAGATTTTTCGCTCCTAAATTCAAAAATATTTATTTTTGAGTCAAGCGAACTTTTGTGCTTGAATTTTCATCGGAAGTAAATATTTCTTATTTATCTGATGTCAACGTATTTTAAAAAACACCTCAGTTTCAATCTGTCAATATCTATTTAATTTGCGGCTGGGAAGCCAATGATTCTACATTGTGATTTGTTCTTAATAGTCGTAATTATTAACAGATATCTATCTATACGTACATCATTGGAGTTCCTGTATAGACATTCCGTACGTATACATTAACTACATATTATAGGGGTTAGGTATTTATAGTTTACTCTCTCCTCTTGTAATTTTCGTGCAGTTTGCCCATATCACTGACGAGGTAACTTTCACCAGTATAATACTCGAAACAACTAATTTAAGCGTACGACCAACCAGGCTTTAGAAGACAAATCACTCCTTATATGGAAATTGTATTCGTTTTTACAACAAACTCTCAAGCGAAATTAGAGAGTTATAATGGAATAAATTCAAAACTCTCGTTAAATGTAAATTAATCAATAAAGCTTTTTTATAAATTTGACGATTTTTTAAATGATCTTAATCCCTGGGATTGATTTGCTCCAGTTCAAACAATTGGTAGGATTAAAAACTTGACGATTAAAAAGAGTGGCGGAGAGTTTTTTTGTCAGTTTCAGAACTGGTAGTAAATCTAAATTTATAATTAATTTAACATCTTTTCTGTTGGCGTTCATCTAGTACAGATTACCTATATGAATAAAGTTAACTTGTATTTGAGGATTCTATCATTTCATTTAATATAATTAACATCTCGCATAGAACATCCTGCTTCTATTCTTCTATACAAGTAACATACTTTTAATTTATGAGTGACTCTTGTGGATAATATTGAGTGATATTTCAAATAGGTTTATAGAGAAAATAAAGGTTTATAAAATAAATCATTGCACTATTTTTATCTCAATTATCGCAGACGATAAATTCTTTGTTTAAAGCATTAGTGTGAATGGTTTCATGGCAAAACGCATTGGACCTGCTCGTCTGTTTGAAATTAATCTGATCACAACTACAAAGCGAGTGTACTTGACGGTGCGTCACACTTATCTCTTTGTATGGCTTAGTTTTAAGGATTTTTGCGGCACCGAAAGGTTCAAAGGTTGGCACGTCTTTGTTTCATCTACGTACTAACGTCAGATAATGAACCTTCAAAGCGAATGTAGGCGCATTATTATCTAATTTGGATGAATTGTTTGACGATGCTTTGACAAAATATGAATTATGGCTTAGGCGAGGACTGCGAAGCGAAAATCACTCAAAACTTCGAATGTAAAACTGTAATTAATTCGCATTCATAATAAAGATGATTAAATAAGATAGATTAGTGATTCATCCGAAAGTTGAGAACGCTAGAATATAAAAAAATACCCATATTTCTAAACACAGGTTTACAAACAAAAAAAAATTATAACTAGTTTAATTTACAAATTTAAAAAATAAAAACAAAGTACTTAAATACGACAAATAATTGAAAATATGGTCTTAAGTATTAATTGTTAAATCACTAATAGATTTTTAATCTATTTTGTCTTCACATATTATAATTATTTAACTAATGTATACAAAATATGGTAAAACCTATTTTAAAGAGTAAGTGTGGAGTTTCTTGCCCATTCTTCTCCACACGAAACTACCTTTTGGAAGGGGCAACTAGAATCATCTTTATATACATTTTATTTAACGTTCAAAAGTGCCATTTTAGGTGGTCTTATTGAAATAAATGATTTGACTATTGACTATTGACTACGCTTGGATTGTTGTAAATCGAACGCATGCTCTACGACTTACCGATAACATCAAGAGCAATCCTATAATTCCTCGTTGGCGACACTTGGAAGTCGACTCGGCATCTGTAGATAGCTCTATCCCGTGACTCAATGTCACTGACGTGTAGCGCCGAGGTCGGCAAGTCGATCCATCGAGCGCGGTCGCCGAATGTATCATCCGACCAGTAGCCTGTTGGGCCGGGCACTCGAGTGTCATAGCTGTAACAGTTTTATTATAATTACTATCAATTTTTACTATAAGTAACGCGGGCAGAAATGGAAGAGATACCGTGCTAGTGACACTAAAGTAAGGTATGAACTTTGTTAGCATAATAATATCAAAGGAATAAGTTAGGAGAAGAAGATACCAGTGGCCTCAGATTTCTTTGACTGTTTTGTAATTTTTTAATAGGTGATCAGCCTTCTGTGCCTGACACACGCCGTAGACTTTTTGGGTCTAAGGCAAGCCGGTTTCCTCACGATGTTTTTCTTCACCGTTCGAGTAAATTTCAACTGCAGAAATAGGCAAAAAGTTCTTTGGTGCACAGCCGGGATCGAACCTACGACTTCAGGGAAAGGTCGCACATTGAAGCCACTACGCCAAAATATATTTATTTTCTATCTAATCTTAATATATAAATCCTTATATGAATAATACATACGCCTTTAAAATATTATATTCAAATATATTAATATAATTAGATCCTACATACAAGTGCTGAAAATATAACATCTATTATTGAATTTAACAAAACAGCATTTCGTTCGTTAAATGACGGTTAGCTGTTAACTCATTTGTTTATTAATCAATGAATGTAATAGAGGGAGCATTAATTGTATAGCAATACCACGTAGTTCAATCATTGGGTTTACCAACAACCGAGTCTAACGTCCACAAACATTATTGGGGATTGCTGAAATTATTGTGGGCTATTTACATTTGAAGATACTATTTTAAAGGCGTATGTATGTATATTTTTGAATTTATACTTCTTTTGGCGCGTTAGGCAAAAATTATGAGAGTAAATTTTATACCCTGAAGTTAGCTATAGTCAACATTTTAGTTTTTTCTATTATTAGTGTCGTTTTTTCCACAAACGTTTATTTTTTTTAAATAGATTTTTAATTTGTAACGACAAAGAAATATAGCTTCTAACGGGGTACATAAGTACACACACGATTTTTGTATATAAGGATTTTTATTATATCAATATTAGATCATTAGTAGTTTCGAAATTCAGAAGATACTGGTTAGAAAAGCGAAGACAGAAGAAATTTAAAGGCGTGTAAGCAACCATTTAATATAGTAAGACCTAAATGAATTAAGATTTTTTCGAATGTTGACAATTCAAATGAACATTAATGTAGAGTGTGTTCTAACATAATTGATGTGTATGGGTACAAAATTGTTTTGGAAATTATAAATAATCTAAATCAATATCAATCAATATCTCGAATAAGAGTTTATATATCTTGTATATATAGATACTTATAACACTTTTTTGGTCATAGAAAACACATAGCTTATGTCTAACTAACCCAACACGCACGATTATAACATTTCTCTGTCACACTCACAAATACATTCTCACACACACACCCATCGACATATTCACACACTCATGCATACTATATAGATTTAAGACAACTTTTTCTTTAAAAATATTGTTTTATTCCTTTTGCTTTAAACATGAAGCCATATACCACGGAATTACTGTAATCTAGTCTATCTCCTTATTTTGTCTCAAAAATCATAGTTTGTTACGAATAAATATTATTCATACCAATTCGCAACATATTATATATGCATTTTTTAGTTCATAGATTGAATGCGTCGTTGGAGAACCATCGTTGTTTTAAAGAATATATCACGATATATATATTATACTAGCTGACCGGGCAAACGTCGTTTTGCCATGTATATCATTTATAATAAAAAATAGAGGTTGATCGTAGAGGGGTGAAAGTTATGGGTTGTATGTATTTTTTAATGCTGTATCATATAAAAATAAAAACAAAAAAATTAAAACAAAATAATTTAGGGGTGGACTACTCTTAACATTTAGGGGGATGAAAATAGATGTTGTCCGATTCTCAGACATACCCAATATGCACACAAAATTTCATGAGAATCGGTCGAGCCGTTTCGGAGAAGTTTAACTACAAACACCGCGACACGAGAATTTTATATATCAGATTAGATATCCTTTAAAACGTTTAATCTGATTAATTTATTCTTCTTTCTGTTCTTATGATTGATATGTTGTTGGGCTTTATTGTTGGTTTGTTTAATATTGGGCTGGAACTTATACAATTTAATAATTGAGTGAAATATGTAAAAAAAATATTAACATATTATATGCTCTTACACTTAAATGCTTATAATTTTATTAATCTAAATAAGATTTATTGTTTTGAGATACGAAATCAGTTTTTTTTCTGTAGCGATATTAAATTAAAAACAGTTTGATATTAAATCAAAATTTCAACATATGTTATGTTGAAATTTTAATATCAAATAATACTTTCATTTTACAATTATGAAGTAATTATTCGAACTGGAGATTTGAAATATGAGAGCGGTAATCACAGTTAGAATCACAGCACTCAGCCGTCTCACGGTTCAGTGGCTCTAGAATTTATAGCACTATCGTTGGAAATCCTTCTTGAATTATGACGGCTAAGCAATTGCAGCGAACACCAAGTTGTATTCAGCCAACAAAGCGCCGCGCTGTTTGAAGCGCAATTATCGTAAACATGTTTTTATTTTTTTTAATTCAATACATCTTTAATCCAATGTAGAATCTGTATTTCACGATTTATGTTAATGTTGTCAAAGTACTTGACAGATAATCGTCGCAACCTAATATTGGGTCATTCTTTTGCCAATTTAACGGGTATTAACGCTCTATCTAGACATTTATGTAAACGAACGTTTTATATTTTAGACAAGATATATAGACAATATAACTTATATTTGGTTAACTATAGGGGAAAATATAGTTTATTTGAAGTGTTTAAAACATGTTTTTTGATTACATCGGACTTTCTCTTAAACAATATTTTCTTGAACTTGAATTTAACAGACTACATGATTTAAAACTTTAAAGTTTATTATGAATTCCTGGCGTTTTTCATAAAAAAGTCTAAAGATTTTTCAAAAGCTGTAACTAATTGTGATTTTATGTAAATTGACTAAAATATAACGATTATATTTTAGTCAAGTTAAAGATCGCAAAAAATCTTTATTATATTACAATAATACCGCAACGGAGAATCTGAAATTCTAAATTTAAAATATCACTCTCAGACGTACTGTTAAAATGACCATTATTATTCTAAGCATTTGAAATCACGCTATGTTCGATCAATGTTCAATGCTAAATTTAATCTAAATTTGCATATTGTGGACGTACTATGTATATTTGAACACCTATTCATAGTTGAATGCGGCATGCGTTCCCGATGCGGTAGGAGGCTCGCCGCAACACGAGTGCATTCTATGCCAATATAAACCATTTTGTGATTCAATATATTTACTTGCGCTTTACGCAAAGGTGAGCTATTAATATAAAGTGTTGTATACTAAAATGTAAACAGTGTTTCTTCAACCCCCGACAACAATGGACTTTCTGTCTATGCGCATTTATCATTTGCTGGATCGGTGAACGAAAACATCGTGAGGAAACTGGCTTGCCGTAGACCCAAAAAGTGAAAGGCGTGTATCACAGGAGGCTGATCACCTACTTGCCTATTAGATTGACAAATGATAATGAAACAGAAACATAAATCTGAGGACCTTAAAAGGTTGTAGCGCCACTGGGCGTTTTAATACTAACACAGTATTTATAAATAGAGGATTTGTCATTTAATAAAACACTATTTTGACCGGATTGAAGTTATGTATTGTCACGGTGACCACGCACGCTGTAAAGCACGCGAAACGTCGGATAAATTTAAAATTATGTTAAATAGTTGTAAATTTATAATAATACATAACTTCAATCCGGTCAAAATAGTGTTTTATTAAATGAATAAAAGTTATGTTAATCAAAGACAATACTAGGATTTGTCATGTTATTTGAAGCTTATTTGTAGTACTAGCCTACCAGCTCTCAACGCACGACACAATCAACCCTCAGTTTTGCATCACGAGCGAATAAATGAATTAAAATATAATATTCGTAATCTTAGTAGTAAAGAAAAAATAGATGCTCCAAAACATGGTTATAAAAGAATTTCTTTATTAACTCTTAAGCTAAAAGTACAAAACATTTATTAAATTATCAATCACAACTTTTCCATAAATAAATCAACAATCATTTGAAGCGTGGAAGCGGGACTTTCTTGGCAATTATGCAAACAAGCACCCCAAAACTTCAGTATCGTCTCAGACAAAATATGCTTAATTCAATTACAACAAACTGAATGCCTTAATAATATCTAAGGCAATAGAGGTAACTCTCGGAGCTTTATTCAAGCTGAATTTCACTTGCAAATGTGTTTATTGAATTACTCCAAGTCTAGAATGAAGTTGCCTTTGTAATATTTCAAGAGGTTACATTGGGTGTTTGTATGTAACACTTATTTAACAATACGAGAAACATTTATACAAGTGACTGGAATGGACAGATTTATCTCTTGCTTTTAGGCACATTTTGTGTTTAACATTACACTAAGATAATATTAAAATACATCATAAACTACATAAATCTATTATTTATATTTACACCTTTTTATTTCGTAATTAGACCAATTTTTATGATGGCTTATGTCGTCATCTGTCACTTCAGAAGTTACCTGGGACGTTTGCAGGGTTTTCGCCTGCAAAAGAGGCATTTGTGCGTTGTGATATGCTTTATTTTTCCATTTAAGAATAACGTGGAATAACCTTTTTTCAGCTGTTAGGTAACTTCCGCAAAGTAATTTATGTATAGCATTCATAATTAAATTTATAAGTAGCAGTGTCGGGTAATGGTGCCAGCAAATTTAGAGTTCTTGTGTTCACATTTGCGTATGAACTGTTATGGTCCGCATTTTCTCAAATGTTGACTAACTGGCCTTTGAACTTTTAACTTAACGGGTTACATATTAATATAAAAACCGCTACAACCCATGACGGGCTTTAGATGTCTGTATCCGTGTCCTTGATTATTTTTATACCAAGCAGGAGATATGATATACTCCGTCTATTTTATGGGCTTTACATTGACTTCTCAAAACATTTTCTCTGTAATGAGAATTTATTGGAAAAAGTCCCTTGGTGTATCTTGGCTAACTCAGTTAAAATATTTATCTTAGAAAACATTTAAAGCACCAAAATACTACTTAACATATTAAGGAATGACCCGGAATAGAATTAATAAACGTTGATTAATTTCGCTAGTGACCCGTCTATTTCGTACTTGATAAAGTTAGCCCCGCGAAACACCTGAGCATTTTAGTAAAAGTTCAAACGCCTAGTGAAAAATTCAAAGAATTTTACGTGGACCCATTTTATAAACTCCAATATTGACCTATTTCGATTGATACTAACCGAGACCACTCAATTTATGTTTAACCTACTTTAAAAAGAGGGTTAAGTTTTAACAATATTTAACACTAGATGCTTCTATTGCGTAAAATTAAAGCACACGTATAGTTTTTATTAGAATTGGCTTAATAGTTTTGTCACTGTGTTAAAACCAAATTTCTCCTTACACTTTAAAATCGATTTTCGTTTAGTTTTCGTATTTTAAATTGTTTTGTTGAATATTTGTATTATCTCTTCGCGTATGTCAAGTTTGCCTATAAGTTCTTGTCATATTAAAATTTTTAAATTTTGGTTCTTTTACCAATGTATCAGTGTGCCGAGTGTTGGCAAGCCTTTATCAAAGAGAAAATGGATTTATAAAAATACTATTTTAATGTGTGATATAAATTATATTCACTAATAATAGAGTGGAATTAATTTCTGACTAAATTCAGTGTAGTAGATATTGTTGGTAAATTTTTCTTACAATAAAATTAATAAAAAGCTCAGTCACGATGGATAACATTTCTTTAAATACTCGAAATTTAAAATATGTGCCAGAGACAAGATAGTAGTTCTAATAGCTCCGTTTGAGTCATGGTTGGCGCAAACTTTGGTATTGTGTGCCAAACGTAGAATACTTTACCGCGAAACAATACAGCCATAATGCAGGCTTTGATGTTACATACATTTTTATTTCACTTTCTAAAGCTTTCAAACGATGTGTTAGCGACAATTTATGTGATTACTGTATCCGTTTGACGTTATGCGTTCAAACATTATTTTGGAGTTCTTTATTCTAGAACAAAGTATAATTTATTAACATTTTTAACTATTACATAGATGTGATAAATATAGTATAAATTTTCTGATTTCTTTTATACATTCGTATTCTATATTATAGTTTTTTTTATTGAACAGGGAGCAAACGGGCAGGAGGCTCATCTGATGTTACGGGACACTCTCAATGCCAGAGGGCTCGCGAGTTTTTTATTACTTATTATAGATTTATTCAATTTTTCATAGCATTCAAACTGGGGTAGTTTTAATCAATTAAACATAGATTAGCCTTTTAGACTAATATTCAAGGATGAATTA